AGACAAAGTAGAAGGTCCAGAGATGGGGGGGGCGGGAAATGTCGAGATGGAAAGCAGCTTGAACACAGCGTGCAGTCGGAGCGAAGCCTTGCTGCTGTGCAGCGTGTGATTTCGTCAATACGGGAGGCCTGGCAGAGACACAGAGCAGCTGAGTAAGAGTTCAGCCTGGGAGAAGGGCTTTTGTGCGTGAGATCAGATGGCATTTTCCCCATGTCTGGGACTGTGTTCTTGCCTTCTGGTGAGAGGGGTGGGCGGAGGTGGAAATCCCAGAGTCTGACTTTGTTGAAGTGATGCTCATCTGAGCATAGGCAGGGCAGGTATTTATTCAAAACCAGCTGGTAGAGATGTTTGTCTCTCCTTTCACACAGACGTTCCTGTGACTTCCACTCCCGTCACCGCGCCCTACCACGGCTGCATGACCGTCAAGCTGAGCAACAAGGCACTGGACTTAGACGAGGCTCTCTACAAGCACAGTGACATCACCTCACATTCCTGTCCTCCAGTTGAGGCGGGTCAGTAGGTACCACTGCAATGCGAAAGTTTTATATCCAGAAACTTTCAATGCTTTTCTTTTTTTTTTTTAAAAGATATAAATTATTCAGACCTACCGCACTGCGTGTATAGTTTCTCTTAAACACTGAAGTTATGTAGGAGCTACTGATCCTTATGTCAGATTGATTATTGAAATACTCCTTTGCTTTGAGGTTTAAAGGTTGTAATATATTTGTAAATAGTTCAGAAGACTAATATTAAATAAGCCAAAAGTACAGAATATAGCTAAAGTGAATGTTATCTTTAGACTGTAAGACAGTTTTATCTGTAATGTGGAAAACCCGGTAATATATGAGTGTGGACTGGAAGAAAAATAATAATTCTGTATTATTTTTTATTACCAAACACTGCTTTCTGATTTGCAAAATATGAGAGAATAAAATATTTACATATGAGTTTTTAATTTACCTGTACTGAGATTATTCTGTATTCTGTTATTTGGAGATAATGACTCAGGCTATGCTTGATGTGGAGATTACGCTGCCGGGGGGGGGAGGGGGGTTTGCTGGGTTTGGTTTTTTGTTTGGAGTTGGCAGAGTTTATGTGCTTATGACAGTATTCTATATCTTCTGGGCTGGAGAGCAAATGGATGTGGATATTCTTACTGCTAGAGCTTCTCTTTCTGTTACCACAGATCGAAGACTCAGCTGTGACCTTTAGAAAAAGCAGGAAACAATTAGAAGAAAAGGCTCAATAAGTTGAAAGCCATATGGCTTTTGTGTCAATAAGCGCTGAAGCAAATGATGAGGTGTCAAGAATTGGGGAATATTATCTGGCGATGACATATTTTTTCTGCTTAATTTTTGGGTTGGCTCATTCACTGTGAGCCTAGTGGGAACAGAGAGGCTTGAGACTGTGAGAGTTAGCCAGGCAAATTGCAGTGTGGTGAGAATATGCGTGGGGCTTTCCTCGGGAGAGGTTGCAGAGCCAGAAAGTGCATTCAACTTTTAAGCTATCCTTGTGAAGTTGGGGTGGGCTTTGCCTAGACTGCTTTGAGGCACTTAAATCTTGCTTTATTTGGTCCTTGTCTTGCATCAGATTCATGAACTGAGAAAGACAGATATATGCTGTGGTGGAAATCCAAACACTGGGTGGCTAAGGTTACCCTGTGCTTCAGAAGGTCAACATGGAAAAGGTCTAATTCTGCAAGGTCTTCTATAAATCGTTCCTGGTCATTCTATGTCATGTTTTGCCTAGCCAAATACAGAGATGACAGATTAACCTAATCATCTACACGTGTGACAACATCTGTGACCAAGCTGTGGAGATGTAACTGTCCCAGAGGAAAGGACGGTAGAGGGGGAAGACTACCCAAAACATATTTTCTGGTAAGGATCCCTGCTTTATTCAGCAGAGAAGAGGAAGGTACTCTCTTAGCCTTTAGACAGCATGACATCATAGCTCTATATCATGACCAAATCAGCCAGCAGTAATGCACTAGGGCAGAAAAGACCAGAGCTTTATTGCTTTCAACCAATCTATTCTTTTACACTTCAGAAGGACCTGGCGAAAGACTCTTTACACTCAGGTGTGACCAGATGCAAGTCTGAAAGGACAGTTGCTCACTAGACAGTAATAACTTACTGGCAGAGCGTGCATGGATAGGAAAACCCAGAAGAAGTTCTATGCTTTTTGCTTTTTTTTATTGAACAAGAGAAACCACGTTATTCCTGAGAGTGCTTTCTGTTAGAGTTGATGACTCTGGATCAACTTGTGATATGATGGAGAACCCAAGAAACATTAGTTTAGTATCTCCAGTGAGAGCCGGGAATCCTGAAGATACTGTGGTTAATAGCACTTCCACACTGCAGTGTTTTCTTTTCTGTGTGTTTTTCAAGGTTATTTTAGTCCTTTACCAAAATACATCTCCCATCTTTTTAACTTGGAGTAGCTTTAATGAAAACAGTACAAACTTGGAAGACACCTACTGTATTTTAAACCAAGTAGATGAAACAAACCCTGGTTTACTTTGTTCTTTTCAGAGGAAGCATGTTAGCAAACTAGTCTTACGTCTGGCATTTTTATATAATTTCTGTGGTAATTCCCAAAAAACTACCATGTGGTATAAATGAATCACAAGCATGTCTGACCTTTGTGTTAATGTAAGTGGTACTATTTATGAGGCCAGTATTATTCTGGATCCTGGAAACATGAAACCTGTGGTACAGTACAGTACTCTGCAGTTTCAGACATAATATTATGTGAAAAAAAAAGATTATTAATTCCATTTTTTAAACCAATCAATTCAGAGCAAAAATTTTTCCCAGACTGTGCATATATGCAAAGATATTTTGCATAGACCACAACACCCCCAAAGCCAAAATGTAGTTCAGAAGAGAACGCCAGAATTTGTAAGTCTGGAGAATTACAGAAAACAGAGGTCTTCTGTGTCAAGCTGGAGTGTTTTTAACACCCTACAGCAGTACCACGCTGGAGGAAGAGGCAGCTGCTTCTACCATTGAAAAGAGGAAAAAAGTGATAAAGAGTTCCTTCATTCCTCCTCAGTCACTGTGCTTCGACCCAAGGGAAACACTGATTTCGGTTTTGTCCTGTCAGCAGTCTAGGTGCTCAACTCAAAGGGAGCAAGTCTCTTCCGGGCTTTGGTCCCCAAAATGAACCCAGGTGCTTCCCCTGCTAGTACTCATAGTAAGCAAAACGAAGTTAGTGTGTCGTTCCATTCATTTCGTGATCAGGGTCGTTGTACTCTTCACAACATGCATTTGCACAATAACTGAGCATTTGGATGTGTTCACATGTTTAAAGGAAGAAATAATGGTCTCATCTCTGGCTTCTGTTTCTCTTAACCAGGTTCATATAACTCACCTTGTCAACACTACACGTAAGGCACCTGGTCACTGATGTTAACGTCACTGGCCTAAAACTTCGCATCTCAGAAAATCCTTCTTTAACTGAACAAAACATGGTTTTTACTGTCCACATAAATTAACTTCTGATCCTATGTGTATTAGTACTGAATCTGCTTTTTATACATAGAGGTGCAACACAGGAATTAACAGAAATTTCTTGAAAGGTGGAAAGTATTAGGTAAAAGACTGATCATTCTTTGTTCTATTTTCAGCTGGTCCGATGGTGTCACTTCCTGTCAAAGGAAACTGTCAAGCAGGCTGGTTTTGTTTATACAGGGTTTTTTAATATTTCCATAATACGAAGCAGCTGCTTAAAAGCTTAGTGAGAAATACCTTCCTTTCCCTGCTTTGCTCTTTGGCCTTTCAGGAAATTTCTATAGCTTCCTTGCCGTCTAGACTGTAAGATCTATAGCGCAAGCAGCCCCACCACCCTTCCTGCAGGAGCAAAACGCAGTGGAGGGATGCCACAGTCTGATGGGTCTTCATGCTGCTCATCTGTGTGCTCCTAGGGATCCCAGCTGATGTGATGCACGGCAAGGACGAAGGACGCACACGACAGGGACAAGACTTTGTTCCTGCCAATGGCGCTGCTACAGCTATTGCCGCTTAGCCTTGTCAACGTGTTTTTGTCTCTACAGTAGGAAAAATAATAAAAAAAAAAACAAACCAAAGGAATTTTGACCCTTCATCCATTCTGTTTTGGTCATTGTAAAATGCCTGGATCAGGTCTTGATCAGTTTAAATAACTGGGCTTTAACATACAGTGGTTTTGGTTGTGGTCGTCTTTTGACTAGAAAGGAATTAATTTGAACACGAATGCGCAGCTTTGGAACACCTGTCTGGAAATTGCATCTTTAGCACTCTGATATCACATTTTACTACGCAGACTAGACTGGCACAAAGTTTGGATAAAATAGTCCCAATAAAATTAACCTTTCTGTTCGAAACTTGGAAGAGGGAATAATTTGGTAGGTTACTTTTTCCTCCGTTCTCTTGTTTTTCTGTCCTTACAAATACACACAGCCTTAGGTACAGAATAAATACACACAGTTAATTTTATTGTAAAATAACTGCCACACTTTTATTGGTACAACACTTTCACCAAAAAGAGTTATTTAATAAATACTGCAAGCAAACAAACACCTGGTCTCTTCCTACCCAGTATGGTTGACTTGGAGTGTTCCTGACTACCCACTCAGACAGCACAGGCTAGAACCCCTCTAAACTGGCTCACGAAAGCAGAACACATATCCAGAGTATTTTATTCATTTCTCCTCTTGAAGAAAATTCATTCTGCAGTGTACTGAGAAGGAAACACATGCTTATGGTAGCCAGAAAGCAACACTGCAATTTGCCTGCAGGCAAACTGGGTGGTGACTGATCACTGCGCTGGTGCTGTGCCTGCCCTTACCTTTCCAGGGTCCTGCTCTGCTCACAGTGAGATGCGGGTAAAAGCAGAGTGGCTGCAGCACCCTCTGCGGTGGGTTCCCTGGGAAGTCTAGTGCCTGCACAGCGCAGTTTCCAGGGGTGTCTTAAAAACAAAATAAAAGCCTACCAGCTACCTAAAATAAACTCTTTGTTCTACGGTGCATATGGTGGAGGCTTTTCTCCAGGCAAGAAGTAAGTCGGTGTATACAGGGCTGGAGCATTCGGGGGGAGACCATAGCTGGAGCTGGACTGAGATGGTGGCTGAGTTTCTTCTGATAAAGAAATGTCAGTAGATGATGTTCCTGGAAAATTGCTGGCAGGCTGTATGTAGACAAAGAAAAGTACTTTCTTCAGTAAGAGATTACAAACCCATTTGCAGCTCTGCGTTTAAGTGTTACATAAGAAGCCCCACGGTTGAACTTCTCAGGCATTGCAGCACTACAGTCACCTGCCTAAGTACAGCAATGATGATGCCTAGTGAAACAAGATGGATTCCATCTGTAACCCAAGTGCTTTTTAACTGGTGTTGTGCATACAGTAGGCAATAGAGTAGAAGAGGAATTTCTGCAGGCAAAGATGCTTTGGCTTCCTGGGTGAGGCACTGCACCTGACTGGCTGATTAGGTTACGTGTATCTGCTCGTTTCCAGGCATCCCAGTGAAATTTAAATTATCTGAGTTGTAATTAATCTCAGTTATAATACTTGCATAAATGCAAGGTCTTATTCCCGTGCCAGACGCATACTCCTCTTAAGAGAAAATCTGACAGGCAGGCATGTGTCGCCCTGTAGGTCTTTCACTTTGGCTGTCTCATCTATGGGGCTTTGGCTGCAAGAGGCAAGAAAAATAGATGGAGCTTAGGAAGCAGCCCATGTTCAGGAGCAAGCAGAGCTTATTAAAACAAAAGAATACATGTAGGGACTAACGTTCTGGATAAAATCCTACCACTACTTCAAACTAAGTTTTGGCACTGATTTCAAGAGGGTCGGGATTTCACTCCTCCCCTCATATGCCAACACATGCCAGTCCATGGGCTTCACCAGAAGAGTTGTGCTCAGATCCCTTTGGGTTCAGGCCTAAAGTGCCTGGAATTTAAAAAACCAAACCAAAACAAAACAAAAAATAATAATCATGGATCTTTTTCAAGGGAACTGAAAAATCCAGGCAAGTAAATGCTGCTCTCTGCTGCTAAAAAATTTAATAGTCACCATCTAGAAGGCCAGTACTAGGGCTGGCACTTGGCCAACGGCATCTCAGAGCTGCCCAGGGCTGACAGACCCCATGCCACGGTGCCTGGCTTCTCCCTGGGGCTCCTGTCCTGGGTCAGACCCCCATGGCAAGGAGAATGTTGGGCTGCGTTTGTACCACAGGGTGACTTGGTGAGTGAGAATGGGGATGTCCTGACAGGGAGGCTGATTATGCCCTTTAACTCTCAAGGAGGCAGTGCAGGTATACTTGCAGACCTGCTGGCTAGATCAGCTCCAGATGTAGTTGTTAGGGGTTTGGATTTTTTTTCATTTATTTTGGAGTTGTTGCTTCCTTCGCTCCTCAAACTGTGGCCACTGTTTCCATCAGTCTGCCTGGAATTGCTTCTGTAATGAGTTCTCTTCTGGCAGGCAGGACTGGCACAACCCTTGCTGCTGTCATCACCGCCAGTCCCTGCACAGCTAATCATTTACCTGACCGGTTGGCAGCCCTGTTACAAGACTAGCGGTGACTGAACTGTGCCAGTAAGGGATGAATGATTTTGTTAGCACATGCCACAGTAAACAAAAGAAATGTTGTGTACATTCTTGGCAAAATGCAGTCCTGTTATCACCCTTTCTTTTTTGCATTTGGCTGATTTCTGCTTGTGGACAAGAAAAGCACGAGGTGAACTGAGGAGAGTTTACCACCAGCTCAGGTTCTTTAAAGATTCCGTTTGCCCCTCCAGCAAGCATTTATTCAGTGAGATACTGGATTCAGCAGAGGACTAGGAATTAATCTGCTCAGTGGTGGGAGCCACAGGTGAACTGAGGTTCACAGCATGTGAGCTGATGGAGCTTCAGTCCACGCAAGCAGGGCAGTGCTTAGGCTGGCATGTTGCGTGCCAGACCAACCCACGGTGGGATGCATTCCCAGGAGGAGGAACTATGGCTGTGGATTTCCTCCAGCTGAGGTGAGGGTTCAGAATAGAGTTATTAGTTGGTAATGGATTGCTAACTGCTTTACTTCATTAACTGGCATCAATTCACCTTTTTTCCCCTAACTCTTAGGTGAAGAAGGTTTTGCTCCTTTTGTTGCACAGAATCACCGTGTGTGTGACCCTGCCTCAGCTGGGAGCAGGTGCAGGAGAATGTGAAGTGCAGGGGCTTAGGAACAGTGTTTAGCCAAAGCTTCGGTGAGTGAAAGGGAACGCTGAGAAGAGAGGTGCATCCTGGGGCCCTTACGTGGATCTTTGTCTATGTGGAGACAAAATGTTATGCCTTTTGAGATGCCCAAGGGCAGCCACTGCCAGCTGCTCCAGAAATACGCGCAAGTCTCATGTGGCCCACATCAGCCAGCCCTGTAGGGATGTTTTGCAAACATGAGGCCATCTCAGATGCCGTATCTTTGGGCAACTGAACTGCACCACTAGGATACAGGGTTCAGCCTCAGATTTTGATGTCTCAGTTGAAGGCTCAAGAACACAGATATCTAAGTGCACAGCACAGTGACATGTAACAAACAAATCCCACCCCTAGTCAGTGGAAAAGCCTTTAGGGTGCATTTGTAGCACTCACATCATATATCTTTAGCCTGAGACAATCCACGTGTGGCTCTCTCTGTGGACTCTAAAGGGTAGACCAGCTCAGGCAGGGACTCCTACGCTATGGACAGCTAAAGTTTAACTCAGTTGCCCACATGTAAGTGTCCAGCCCTTTTGGGATGCCATGGGATATCCCAGACATCCACACAGACGTGACACAGGGACTACAGGACCTGGATCCTCCTAGAGTGGCAGCAGGGGCCAGATAACTACCTCTCATTATCAGGCAGCACTAGGTGCCTACGTGCCAACAGTCCCCGTGTTTAGCCAGATGAATCCTAGCCCCAGGACCAGCTGAGCAGGGCTTGTGAAGGCCTGAACCCAGCAGCTAGGCACTGCTTGAAACACTTACATGGATCATGAAGACCTCCATCCTCATGGATTCAGCCCACAGCTCTCAAGTAACGGAAGCGGATGACAGTTAAGCTTCTGGTTGTTCCTAATCAGGCCTATTTCTAACATTCACCATTTGTAGCTTTGAGTAAGTTTATTATGATTTTTCAACTCATATACTGATGCAGAAATTACTTCCCGCCAAACTACAACATAATGAGCTCATACATGCAAGAAGGTGGCTTGGTGGGCTTTTTTTTTCTTTCCAGGAAAAGAATTACGCGCTCTCCCTTTTGGAGCCCAGTGCTTCTTGCTAACCTCTCCTGGCTTGGAGACAGCTGGTGGTGTCTGCCTCTGAATGTTATGAAGGGGAGAGAAGACAAATGAACACACTTCTTAGAAAAAGTAGAAATCTAGGAAAAGAACTGTGTTTATTTTGGAATGCAGTTAAGAATTTGGGGTAAATATGTTGCATTTCTGTTTCTCAGTGGACACAGGACTGAACAGTTACAGTTGATTCTCATGACTACTTGCATCCATCTTTTCAGCTTAATTGCTTTCTTTCATCTGTTTTTATCCCCTTCTCTCTCTACTCTTGGCTACGTGCTAATTGAACTCTGCAGAACAGCACAGCTTTTCAGCTAAAAGCAAACAAAAAAAAGATGTTCTTTTTTTCTCCTCAACCCGTGGTCTCCAAAAGTGCCTGGCCCCATTTATGTTAATAAATAAGACTTGCCAAGGACTGTTCTCTGGCTGTGAAGCCAACTGGCAGCACATATCACACCCCTACAGCTGAACGCTTACCACCAAACCAGTGTGACTGACTGTACGCACACTACGTACCGGGAACGGTCCATGGCCCTTGCCATCTTCTGACCCCTCCCTGAGCATCGCTGGGAGACTGTTAGGTGGTCTGGGCCAAACCCATGCTGGGAGCGTGCTAACAATTCACTGGTGTGGATGATCATCATGCCCCAGTACTTGTGCCTGGCAGCTTACTGGCCCTGAACAGCTGTAGTCCAGAAGGCTGTGGGGAGCTGGTCCACAGCTAGTTCACGCGAAACATGCGGTGTTTTCAGTTAAGAAGTATTGCAAAACTTGTGGTATCCACTGGTCTAGCACTACACAGCCAAAGTATAACAAGCCATTGGACAGAACAAAACAGTCTTACTGTGCTTTAAAAAAAATCTAAAAACTACTGTGATTGCTCCAGTGTCTCAGTACATTCAGTTATTTACCAGCTCACCCTATGTTCTTCACCTCACTCTAGGGAAAAAGAACACAAAAAACAAACAAAACACCCCAAAGTCATCCTCAGCATCACTCCCTGCATTTTCCAGGCCAGCTCTGGCAGGAGGCAGCACAGGCTTGGAACACGACTTGCACCTTGCCCTTCCGAAGGAGCTGTTGTATCCCCTCCCGCAAGGGGAGAAAGCTGCACCTATTCCTGGTGCCTCCTATTTCTGGCTTATCTTGCCACTCAACAGCTTTACTGGGGCAACCAAAACTTTGTGTGATTAGAAGTTACCACTAATATCCATCCACAATCCTTTCCATATCACTCAGCTTCACAGACCTCTTATTTCCACCCCTTTCTTGTTTCCTTTCGATCTGATGAATCCTAATCTACTTACCTCCATATTAAGAGTAAGGCGGGCTAAGGTGTGTGAACTTTTCTGCCAAATCCTGCATCTATCAGATGCTTCCACTGGCTTCCCCAATGCCTCTGCTGCTGCTTTATCTTGCCCAACACAGGGGCTGTGTTCACCTTCGTGACTACTGTAGTGCAGGTCTAATCCCACACTGGGATTCCTGGTCAGCAGACAGAGTCTGGAGGCCAGACAGAGAAAGCCTGAGATCTGAGAACAAACCTGAGAATAAGGCCCAGACTAAGTTGCCCCAGAAGTGAGTCTGTGAGTTGGGATCCGACTTCCTTGCCTAGTTTCCATCTCCCAGGAGCCAAGATCTACTGCTACAGAGTTTGTACTGAGTAGCAGCTTATGCTTTTCTGATGGAGTAAGCAGGGTGCCGTTTTGTACTGTACCTGAAGAGGTAACGGATAGGATGGATACGCAGAAATAGTCGCTGCAGAAGGACAGAACCCAGCATACGTCAGGATCTGCTGGGCAGGATTGTACAGGATCTGAGGAGGAGGTGCAGCACTGAAAGCAATTTGGGACAGAGGTACCTGTTGAGCACAGAAGGCAACAATAAACATATGAGCACAGCACACAAGAGGCTGGAGCAGGAACTGGTCCTAACACAAGCAACTAGGCAATTTAAGATCTTTCTATTTTCCAGCATGATACCGGTACTACAAAAAAACAAGGAGCAGACAGACTGAGAGAAGGGTGTATCTGGAGTTCATTTTCTGACCAGAAATACACAGCTATTTTAATCTTCTTTCCTTGGAAAAAGACTGCTGGTGCTTCCCTAGCACCAGTTACAGAAGCACTGGCAGGACTCCAGACCCAAGACACCCTGAAGAGTGTGCATACAGCTTTGACCGCCTCTGCTTATTCGCCCCAGCACCAAACACCCAGTCCTTCACAATTTGCTGCAGACTCTTTCCAATAGCAACTACCTCATGCCCTCATGTCTTTTTTCTCTGCTTTCCTACACAGATCTGCAAAGATCTTCCTTTCCAGACCACTTGCTCGTCTTTCATATCTCCCTCTCACTTGTGAAATGGAGTTCGCTGCTGGCTGTCCAATACCACCCGCCATGTGCATATCTCATTCCTACTGCATAAAATCCTTCATCACATCCTGTGGCTTTATTGGCATGTCCCTTAGCTGCAATGTGAGATGAGGTCTGCAGGAAGAAGGAATAGCTCATATTAAACCAGCTGATACATCTGGGGGAGAGAAAAAAATAAAAAGAGCAAACACTAAATGTGAAAGGGGGCTTGTGTTAAACCCTAAAACCCTGTGCTATATAAACATTTGCGAAGGAAAGTAGAGCTCTGTGAAAGATTTTCATGTCTCTCCACTTTGCAAAGCGAGACAAATCCAGCGGTTTCTTTTTTCTCCTTTGTTTTTATTATCAGATTCCCCTACATGAGAGCATGGAATTTTCTTTTTAGTGAAATAATAAAATACGGTGGTTGCCAGGCAAATGCTGAAAGCAGCTGCCAAGATTTTTTTTTGTCTTGTCCTTTCAGATTTATCAATGAGAGACATAAACCACTGCATCCCCTGGAGATAGTGTGACCTCTCTCTGTGATTGAGAAAGAGGTATAGTAATTGTGTTTGTACATCAAAAACATCACCTAGGTCACGGACGTACCCCATGAGGCTACCTGACAATCTAGGTCTTAGCTCTCTGCAGAAACTTAGCACCCCAGGAGCCACTGCCAAGAAAGGCTGGGCCCGAAAACAGAGAGCCTATTTCATGGGAGAAGGTGAAAACAGAGAGCCTATTTCATGGGAGAAGGCAAGTCTCTCATCTTCAAGGTACCCTCCTCAAAACACCTCCTGTGTACCCGCCCTGCTGGGTTGATATGGTGGGGAGAAATGGAGAGACACTGCCTTTCAGAGAGAAGTAGCAAGAAGCAGCTAAGGAGCTTGCCTCAGCCCAGAAGGTTTGGGGCCCACGACATGGCCCACCCGTGCCCAGAGCATGCCCTTCCTCAGACAAGGAAACCCTGGCACGATCAGATCCTTCTGGCTAGGGACGTACACGCAGCAAGAAACACTTGTTTTGCCCAGCGTGAAATACAGATGCCTGTCCTGCATCTGTCACCAGCGTTCTGGTGTGGGTTCCTCTGGGTGCTGCTGTCCTTCTGCCAGGAACCTCTCTCAGTCCTCCTATGTTCTCTCCATCCATAGCAGCAATGCTCTCCAACTGCTAAGGATGAACATCACAACGGTCCTAGAAGACAGGTCTGGGAACTCATCCACCCCAAATCCACTGATCAAAGCACCTTATTATCAGGTTATCTGGTGTCAGCCTGGATTTGTAGGTATTGAAGCTGGTTAGATGCTTTTGTCAAGTATTCCAATAATGACACTACATTAAGTTAATCACATAAAATACAAGGGTAGGTGGAGACATTTTAAGCTGCAACACCACCCAAGTCAAAGCAATAAGGGGCTGTCACACAGACCTGCCAGAGCCTTTAGTCCTGAGCTATGACTACTTTTAACATCAGACTGGACCTTTAGCTGCACGAGTGCTAAGACATGAACACATTGCAAAGAGCTCAGTAATTGGGGGTTCATTTTGTTTTCCTTTTTAGAACAGGGTGAGGAAAGAGGAGAAGGGATAAGGGAATGATCTTTAATCTGTTCAGACTCCCTTGAGGACTCCAAGGGAGGAGACTAATGGGAAAAAAGAAAAGCCAGCAACACCCAGGACCATCAGTAGTTCTGATTAATGCAACCCTAAACTCAGGGAAGGCAGATTCCTTGGCAAGGTGTGTCAGGAAAACATCTACAAGCCATCAGATGAATACCAGGGCAGGGAAGGCAGCTTCTAGATTAACTCTTTGTAGCAGCAAGTGAAGTTTTCCATACATTTCTTTACCTCTGTTTTCTGTAAGAAATAATCATGGTGTTTTACCATTTTGGATACTCTAAGTACGTACTTCTATTATATCATAATCTGCTTTTTGTTACAGGTGGTTTTAAGGTAACTGCCTAGCTGGTGTCCTATGTCCAAGCACACTGTAGCTCTGAAAGCAGGGTACCGTCGTAAACCACTGCAGCTCCCCCAGCACCCAGCAGATCACAGAGGACAGCCCCACGGGTGACACAGTGGTCACAGAGCTGACACTTGGGCATCAGGACAGGATGAAATATTTCCCACTGACCCAGCGCAGCCCTCTGGCAGGCAGCAAAACCATGGGGAGCGTGCCAGGGTCTGCAGGGAATTTGTCACAAGAAAGAAAACACACAACAACCAAAACAACATTTCTTCTTTTTTTCTGTCCAGGAAATGTGATAGGCTTAAAGGCAATGGCCCTGTTTTGCAAACTCTCCCCTTTGTAACACGTTTTGGCTGCCAGCATTCCCTAGAGATAAACATGATTTTTTTTTTGTTTGACTAGTCAGCCTGGCTCTATGTTTTCTGGAAGTCAACCTGGGAGCAAAGCCGTGCGGCGTTTCAGAGGGCTTTGCAGCTCTCCCTGCAAAATGCCAGTGAGCATTTCTGTGGGAAGGTGACATCCTGAAAGAAAGAGGATTGTTCTCCCGCACACTTCGAAGTCTTTTTTTCTTATTCCAGTCCCATGCCCTTCTCTCCCTCTTCTGCTTGATGTTTTCTTGGCCCCCACCTTCCCCCAAGAGTTATTCCTTGCATAATGAAAGCGAACAGCAGATTAGCAAACCAGCTCTGGTATGTCACTCAAAAGGACCCTGGACTCCTGCTTTACTAACACTTTTGCAAGTATAGCATGGCTCCTGTGCTGAGGTAACTGACACAAACTCATCTTTCCCTTAAGCTAACGAGGTGGTTTTTTTTCTGCTCCCGCTGCAGAGGAGACATTAAACAGTTTATTCAGATCAGGTTTGTAGCTGGAGCCCCAACAGGCTTGCTCCAGCCAAGCCTGGGGGAAAGCTGCACGTCCACTGCTGCTGCAGTTCCCCTGCTCAGCTTTATGCCGTGCAGTCAGAGGACCCAGACCTTGACCCAGGCTCTGCGTCCCAGCAAGGGAACGTGCTAGGTCACGGAGATCCCAGTTCCCCCAGAAACGTCTCCTCGGTTTGGCGTCCCTGGTGATCAGTGCAGCGATGGCCTCCACGCAGCACAGAGGTGTGCCGGGGCTGGAGCTTGCCCTGCTGCAAAGCATCAGCCCAAATCCCTCGTAAGCCTTGGTTTGTGCCAGACACATTAGGTGGACTCGGGCTGGCTCTCCGCACCCTTCCCCATCTCAGGGGAGCACTAGCAACTCCCACAGCTGCCCTTGGTGGAGGCACTCACACCCTGCACCCATCTGCTAGGCAGGGTGAAATACTTAGCAACACTGGAAAGCTGCAGTGCTCTACCAAGGATTTACTGCAGACGATGCCTGCCCCCCCCTCCTCGTTTAGCTGTTCTTCCCCTTGCTTCCCACTGTGGTTGTTTCTGCGCCCCTTCTGCCATTGCTCCTCTCCCAGCGAGGGGATGCATTCAGCTGGGAAAGCTGCTTCCACTCCTTCCCGTCAGACAACCGCAACTCTTTACTGGCTGGCTGCAATTTGTTATCAACTCCTTGCAAGGGTCCCCTCACACAAAGGACAGCTCAGCTGCACATTTACACGCGAAGGCTCAGTGGCTTCTTTGCCTTAAGCTAGAGAGAGGAATGTTTCCAGCAAACAAAGCTTAACAAAGGTGAATTTCAAATAACTCATATTGCCCTGCTCTGTCACATGGTTTTAAGCACCCGACACATGTTGTAGATCACCTGGATGTGCTTGCTAAGGGACACTGGGTGGTCAGAGCAGGGCCTGGATGGCCTCCAGACTGACTGGGTCCTTTGCTCACTGGCTGCCAGCTCTTAGCAGCCTCTTCCCTCTCATCTGCCCCCCCTTGGTGTACATCTCACCAGTCCCTCTTGCTTTCTTTTCCCTGCTATATCCCTCTCTTCTTTTCTTTAACCAATCTTTCTATTCAGTTTTCTCCTCTGGAATACTCACCAGAAATATCATGGATCTAAGATGAGCTGTGCTGGGGTCACAACTCCCTTCAGCTCCTGCATTTCACCTCCATCCCCACACCTCTGCCCATTTCGTTTGCAAGCTCTTTGGGCTGGGACCATCTGCTCTTCCG